ATCCTGGGATGCAAACGTTTGGATTGGACGGCAGAAATACACCAGGGGGCGCGGTCGATCGACCGTGCTTGCTACAGCCCCACTAGATGGCGTCACCGTCATACCCACATTCCATGCGGGTTCTGCGGCGTTGGCATGACGTTTGCGAGAGTCTGCGGGGCAAACGTCATCTTTCTCGCTGTTCCTTTTGCATTCGTGGGTGCCGGCTCACCTGCAAAGGTCAAACGCACGAGGTCAGAGGTCAGAGGTCAATTAGACGGGTGTAGTTAGTACCATCATAATGAGTAGTTACAACCTTTGTAAGTCACACGTGTATTACGCAATGTTTTACCTGACATTTAACTCGCACACAAAAATCCCGACATTTTAGACTTATGCCGTGACAACTATTTGCAATGTTTCTAGGAGCAGGTCCCCTCCTACCCTGGACATCAGCTGTACAGCAACAGCGTAATATTCAGCAGGGGCAGAGCAGTCGTGAGCAGGGTAGCAGACTTCAACGCTAATCTTACAGCTTCACCGTGGCAAATGAAAAGCTCATTTATTCGAGCAACAGGTAGTGCAGCTATGTTTTTTTGCCAAAGACTAACTCATATCTGATGAGATCTGCTTGAGACTGCCTTGCCCAACCAGAGGAAGACGGCCACTGAACTACATTGACTGCATTGCAAGGGATATCCAGCATGACATAGCGCACATGCAGACAATGATGATAGACAAATATTTATGGCATGGCATTGTGAACTATGTAATGACTTCGCTCCCAAATAATTGTGAATAGGGTAAGGTTTACACATCAATGTTCAACTCAGGAACATATATCTATCCGTTAAACCTGTGGGACGTGCTTTCACTATCCTTTAACCCAGGGAGTGTCTTCCTGATACCTTAACCAGCAGGGGCCGTATGACCTTAACTATCCCAGCAGGGGGCGTATGACTTTAACTATCCCAGCAGGGGGCGTATGACTTTAACTATCCCAGCAGGGGGCGTGTGACTTTAACTATCCCAGCAGGGGGCGTGTGACTTTAACTATCCCAGCAGGGGGCGTGTGACCTTAACTATCCCAGCAGGGGGCGTGTGACTTCAATATCCCAGCAGGGGGCGTGTGACTTCAACTATCCCAGCAGGAGGCATATGACTTTAACTATCCCAGCAGGGGGCGTATGACTTTAACTATCCCAGCAATAGGGGGCGTGTGTGTGACTTTCAGCTATCCAGCAGGAGGCGCTACGAACATGGTTCATACAGGAGGACTGAAATTTTTTCCAAGAACTTTTCAAGGACATTTTATCGGAAATTCAAGGACATTTCATCAAACATTTTATCGGAATTCATACACAGAACAAAACATACCTGGATTAATTTAATAATTCCATTCTTAATCACTGCATGCCACCTCTAAAACTTACCTGGATCACATTAATAAACCCTTCTAAACACTGTCACTAACCCGTCAGTAAATCAAGGTATGTTGTAGAATGATTTTACTGACTTACTG